TCGCCGTGCTCGTCGAGCAGAGCAGGAGGAGGCCGAGCCTCAGCTGGACTCTCGCGTCGCGAGTCGCAGCGACGTGTTCGCGCTGGAGCAACGTGTGGGTTCCCTGAACCAGTATCTCCATGATACGACTGACTCTCTGAGTCGCCTTGCAGATGGTCTCGATGAGACGAACCACCGCGTGGACTGGTTTGAACAACCACAGTCGGTTCAGAACCGAGTCGTGGACCTTGAGCGTCAAGTCGCTCAGCTGCAAGGTCAGATCGACTTGCTGTTGCGTCTTGTGGCCCCGCCACCTGCTGTCGCTCAGCCTGCCGTGGTTCGGCCTCCCGCTGTTGCGCAGCCTGTCGTGGCCCAGCCACCGTTGGCGCCAACGCCTCCGCGCTCACCTGAGCAGGGTCCTGATACGGCTTGAGTAAGCCAACGTAGAAGACTGGATGCGTGCGCATCTTCTTCGGAAGGTTAAGCGTATACGCTAGGCCCTTCTTGGCCACGACCTTGAACGGTCCTATGAGCCGTGGTCTCAATTTTGTCTTAAAGACTGCAGACACTGCATGAGTAGGTAGGTTTTTTGCATTTAATAAAACTTGGTCTCCGACCTCAAACCTTTCTTCATTGCGTCTGCCTTTGGCATCTGCATGTTCTTTTTGCATGTCTTGGCTTTCAGCCATAGCGGCGCGTACTTGACGCATTACGCTTAGTCTCAAAGAGACAAAGTCATTGACTTGCTTGCGAACCGCAACAGGGCTGATATCAGCTATCCGCTCGGCTATCCCTCCCCCATCAAGCCCTGAGCCACTGCGTGGCGGCGTCAGTGGGACGCGAGGGTTAACCAAGCCGTTCACATAGAACGGAGTGTAGCCTGTCGAGGCGTGCACTGCATTATTTAATGCGAACTCGACGAGTGGGAGCATCTGGCTCCAGCGTTTTGGCGCCTCAGCGCATACGCTTCGGAGGATATCCTCCACAACGCGATTCACGCGTTCTGTTTGACCATCGGTCTGCGGATGGTCCGCTGTGGACATGTCCAAACGAGTGCCAAGCACTCTGAAGAGGGACGTCCAGAACTTCGCGGTGAAGCGCGGGTCTCGATCCGAGACAATTGCCTCAGGCAAGCCATGTTGGCGAAAGACTCGGTCTAAAAACAGCAAAGCTGTACCTTCACCATCTATGGTGTCCGGCACCGCCGCTAAATGAGCCATCTTGCTCAATCGGTCTACAAAGACCACAATACCCGTGTTTCCTGCCTTGTCCTTGGGAAGGCCAAACACAAAGTCCATACTCATGGACTGCCAACATCCCTTGGGGACAGGCAAACTCGCCAATGGCGCTGCCGTGCTCGTGTGACGTGTCAACGGACTTCGTCCGTTGACACGTCTCACACGTGCGTACATAGGTGCCAACCCACTTATACATCTTGGGCCACCAGTACATCGAGCTCACCGAGCCATAGGTCTTCTCCCGACCTAAGTGCCCGCCCACGGGCGTATCATGAACCTCATAGTGGATTCGATACTTTAGATCCTCATCATGAGGAACGACTACACGAGGGTTATCCTCAGAGTCGGTGCTGTAGTACAGCAGGCCGCCATCGAGCGAGTATCGATGCAGCCTCGCGCGTAAGCGCCCAGACAATTCCTTGTCAGAGTCTTTAAACTCTTCGCTCCCAAGAGCCCGTAGCAGCGCTACGCACATGTCGTCTTGTGCATACGCTCCGCGTATCAAGTCAGGCACTGACGACATCACTGTCGTGACATGAGCTAACTCGTAGTCCGGCCTGCGCGAGAGCGCATCGGCCACTACATTAAGCCGCCCCGGCTTGTACTTCACCTCGAAGTTATACTCGGCAAAGAAGGAAAGCCATCTTGCCATTCTCTGAGAGAGATGAGGCGACTGTGTCGCAGTGCGTAACGACGCATGATCAGTAAAGATCACAAAAGGCTTAGAGCCTAGCAGGTGTACCCTGAATTTGACTAGAGCATACTTCATTGCAAGTAGCTCTTTGTCATGAACTGGATAGTTCTTCTCTGCAGCTTTGAGCTGGCGAGACTCAACGCGATCACGCGTTCACGCCCTTCGGCGTCTGCTTGTAGTAAAGCACAACCGATTGCAAAATCGGAGGCGTCACAGACGACGCTAAACGGACTATCCGGGTCCGGTAGCGCAAGGATCGGAGCCTGGAGAAGGCTCTCCTTCACAGCCTCAAAGGCTCCGTCGTGCTCGACGTTCCAGCACCATGGTGCGTCCTTCTTAAGGAGATCTGATAATGGCCGAGCCATCTCCGCGTAGTTCGCACTGTACTTGTGCAAGTAATTGGCTAAGCCTAGCCACTTGCGTAAGTCTTTTTGGTTCTTGGGAACCGGCCAGTCCACGATGGCCTTGACTTTGGCAGGATCTGCCCGTAAGCCACGCTTCCCAATGAAGCACCCGAGGAAAGGTATCTCCTCCGCGCCAAAGACGCACTTGTCCAAGTTGGCATACAACTTATTAGTGCGCATGCACTCGAGCACCGCTCGCAAGTGGTCAATGTGGTTATCCACGTCTGACTTTCCGTGCTCGGCAC